TAGCTTCTACTGCTCCAGCTTCACACTTCGGCTGCCTTTGTTCTTCAGATGGGAATTATTTTCGAAGTTGGAAGAGCCGCAGTGCTTTCTGGAAAATTTTGGCGTTCTTACAGTTTACGAACCCAGCTATCCCATTTAATTTACATAATTTACTAACTTCGCTACCGTTTTAAGTTGACTAATACCCACGACATGTATGTATTAATTAGGACTACTTCTTTAAATTATAACCATCCATGTACTATGTATTATTATATTACTTAATTTCCTCAATTAGATCCACGTGTTTCGGGGATTCTTACACCGTATAGCCAATTACACAAGCCAATAGCATCGTCCTATATTATGATACAAAGTAATTTAACCTAAGTAAGCTCACTCTATGCGCATTTGTCCTTCTATAACGTTGAATTTTGATGAAAGTTTAAAAATATTGTCTAGCCATTCCGACCAGAACAAACAGAGAATACGTTCTATTCAAGTACCAGGTAAAATGTTATATATCACCTTAAGTTAAAAAGAATGAAATTTACAAAGTATACTTATTACGGAGTAGAGAGGAAAAACTGTGTTACAGACATACTCATGGTAATAAATGAAACTGAGGACTCATGCCTGATGATGACGCGTCCACAAAATCAGTGAAGCAAACTGTGCTCGTTACTTTGACTGCCTCCCTGGACCCATATATTGCGGGTATGAATGTGATACTCGGCGCTACCTGCATCGCGTAACAGCCACGCACAGTGAGAATATATATTTTATTTCATTTCATTAAAAGTACACCCTACGGAAAAATATTTCAAATAAAAGTTGTAGGCGTTTATGGGATTTCTTTCCGCCGTACATAAAGTTTCAGAAATATGAACCGTTTTGGAGGAATTACACATCTCCAAATTTCCGCTGTATGTAAACTTAAACTTAACCGGCACGCACGGCAATTAAATTCGCATTTCAGATTCCCATGCCACGTTTCATCTAGTTTTACAGCTGAGAACGCCTTCCTCACTATGCGTTCACTTTATGTACAATGCGAAAATACATTTTAGACATAAATGTTAGGTCATAAGCTGTGACGGAGATAGGGCAATTTACTTTCATGTATTTCTCCAATTGTCATTATTCGTAGTGAGTTTCATTAAATAAAACGTACTAAATCACTACGGGTTTTCCAAACAGCACTGATTTGTCTAAAGCCGAATAAGTGTTCGCTTATCGAAGGGGGAGGATTTCAAAAAAATCCCCTCGGGGCAGCGAGGATTACTTAAAGAGTGATAGCGTACCACACCACTGGCGGCCACTTCCGTTACTATAATGTCCACCCAAAACCTCTCCCGACTGATAGTCATGGTCAATACAGCCTGTCCCAAAAAGATGTACGCACACTTTCAATTAATGAGATAAAGACATTTAATTAAACTAAACCATTAAATACGTCAGCAATGGCACTTAGTGAATTGGCGAAACTAGTGTTCAAAATGACCACCGTTAGCTTCGAGGCACAGTTAACAACAATGAACAACTGACTGACAAGCGGCAACAACACTTTCTGCTGTGTATACATCTTTTTAGACACCAGTATATTAATTTCCTCACAAATGTACAAATGGTATACACGGGTCTCTCTGTTCCAAATGCAATTATCTCGTGAAGATGACTGCCTTCTGATGTGTTGCACCGTGTAGTCTGGTAGGCGCTTACCGACGTTTTAGAGGATCCTACTGCCTCCACCATCAGGGCGATGAGTAACTCGCGCGCGAGAAATTGTAATGGACTAAATGCCTGGCGAGATGAGTTTTTGTCTCAATGATGAATTCAGACACGTGCTGACCATTGCTAATTGTGCAACAACAAAAATCGACCTCAATCTCTTAGCCTTAAAATCGTAAGTATCTTGCAGCGAGTTAAGTAGCTAACTGAAGTAGTAATTCAACATAATTAATATGGCTGTCTTCCGGATTGTAGCGCCGTGTTGTCTGGCAGAAGTTAAAACGTTTCGAAGGTCCTTACGACCTCCATCATCAGGGTGGATCTCTAAAACGTCGGTAAACTTCTTCCAGACCACACGGCGCTACAACGCATAAGACATCCATCTTCGGACTCACCACAGTAAAAACCTCAAATCCTACAATTGAGTAGATTACTCTGATTCGATCAATGATACGACAAATAACGTCCACCTACTTTAAAAGTGTCAAAGCGTGATACATTTCACACTTTACTAAACCGTGGGGGCATATAAATGGCAGCGAAGCCTTCAACGGTTTAACGGTGACAGTCGCTTTAGTTTCAGGCTGCAGAGTGACAGAAAAACAGGGGCCACTGGCCACAGTGCGCGTACAGTTAAAATTAATTGCAGTTCTGCTCACGCGAGCCACCACAAGATCAGAGTTACATCCTTTCCGCTGGCCTTTCTGTATTGTTTTCAACTCAAAATTACTTCAGACACGGAGATAAAAATGTAACAGCTCATATATTTGCTCAGTGCCTCTCCTTTGTCTGTAAACCAATTCGTCACAGTCAGCGACTGTACCTTTAATAACTTACGTGAGGTTTATCTTGTTTCTACATCCAGGTCCATGAATTCTCAATAATACCGCACTGTTAAATATTCGTAGCTGTCAAGCCCACAACTGTTTCTCAACTACAGTCCTCGCTGTGACTGGCTACAGAGTTTTAAAAAAGGAAAAAGCATTCTCTTCAGCCAATAAGACAGCCCTCTGCGCTTGCGGACCTATCACATTTGCTGTTACAAAAATGTTGTACAGTTTCACTGTATAGGGTTCAATCCCAAATTACTGCTAATGCTACCTTTATTATTTAATTTTTTTAAGGCGTGAACCATCGCCTCACACGACAGACTAAGGTTGTTTGAGAACACGGCGCTGAGAATATTTCGGCCTTAAAGGAGGGTGAATATTATTAGGATGATCAAATCAAGCAGGGTAACGTAACGCGGATGGGGGAGATGTGAAACGTCAGAAAATTTTGGATGAAGAGCCTAAAGGGAAGAGACCACTGTGAAGACCTTTCCGCATATGGGGTGGAATAAAAAACTGTTAAAGCTTGTAGATTGGATTCATATAGCTCAGTATAATGACGGATGGTAGAATCTTCTCAAAATGGCAATAAACCTTCGGGTAATGTAATGTAGGGGAATATCCCGACTGGCTAAACATATCCTACTTTGAATAAAAAAATTTCTTGGATATTATCCATCGTCTAGTAAATATAAAACGTAAAACGACGTTTCGGAGATAGGGATTAGCTCTATCTAGTGGGCCCAACTGTGTAGGAACCTGAAGACGGAGATAGAGTCCCATCTCCGAAACGTCGTTTTACGTTTTATATTTACTAGACGATGGATAATATCCAAGAAAATTTTTATTCAATTGACTCTTCACCATCGTCAAGAACTTTTAGATCTGATATATCCTACTTTATCAGGAAGGGCTCTGCTCCGTGGTTAGTTAGTATTGGATAGCACTAAGCTTACTTCTCAATTAATACAAGAAGCGCTTCAGGGAATTTGAGCGCCAGGCTGCCAACCCTTCAACGTAAAATGTTCCGTGTTATGGACCTTGCAGAAAGGCCTAGCACTGCGTCATTGCTGTAGCTAAGTGGAAGCCCACGTCTCTCTGGGGCGCTTACGTGACCTATTTAGACATCGGCAGGCCCCCCTAGACGAGTAATCAGCCCGTCGCAAGGCCTATAACTATGCAGGTCAGCACAACAAAGAAAGACGCGGACAAACATCCATGCCTTGAATGGGATTCGAACCAACGGTCCCAGCGTCCGAGAGACCAAAGCCCACAACCCAGACCGCGCGAAGTAAGCTGTATCTTGTAAAATGCAGGCTGGGTGCTGTATATGGCCCCGATAACGAAGTTAACGTCGCGTTAAAGCCTTCTCGCCCTTTCATCCAGCTTTCATCCCAGTACATATGTTCGCCTGTCAATAAAAGTCACTCACTACTGGCACTGATTTCATCCGGCAACACGTCTTTCGCATCAAACTCTAAAAAGTGGGAATTTTAACACTGCTTTCATTTCATTGTATATGGCCTAATACGTACAATCACGTGGAGACGTGAGGTAGCAAGCTGAGAGTAACTGAAATCCAGCTGGTTTCGGTTTCATGACCATGACAAAACACGGTTCATGTATTTTATTTAATTTGTGGTTTATTTAACGACGCTGCCAGTAACTGACGACTATAGCGTAGGATGATACAATAATAACTGAATACTGACTTTGGAAGTGTTTGGAAGGAATGGTCGTGGTCCAGTTGCCCATTTGCGTGGAGCGACAAAGGAAAATGACGAAAAGCCCCTGACTTCGAATAGCCGACCTCCGGGACGAGATTTGAAAACAGAACCTTCCGAATACGAAGGGGTGCTAACCACTAGGTCGCGACAATCAACTGGATATTTTAATATTAAGGGTATTTAAATCTATCTTCCACAAATTCAGCACAAAGTAAGCCATGCGATCAATAAATACGCTTTAGACAAATAACTGACTTCATTTCTATGTTCATCATTATGTTTGTCGACAACAGAACTGTGTGAGATGCCATCGCGGCTGTGAAGACGCTCATTTGTCTTCTGGGTTCAGCCTTAAAGATGGAGGTAGCATGTTCCTCTAGAACGCCGGTATCTAGTTACAAGTCCACTTGGCATTAAAACCCACTGGAATAACATCGATTGCAGTACTGCATTTCGGTGGAAGGCATTAATGTTTACTTCACAGCAGTTACAAACATGCCTTATCACAAAAGCTGAGCAAAACGCAAGTAAAAAAAAAATGAGCTTGTAACCGCGATAAACTGACAAAATGACTACTAAGGAATTTAATTTGCATACACGACTTCTATATAATTCGTCATACATTTTTCTCTCTTGTGCGTACGAAGCAGAGCGTACACGTGAGTGGTCCTTTCACATTCTCGTTTAAACAACAAGGAGACTGTAAGCAAGCAACGAGTGCTGTGGTCCTTACCTGCGGCTCCCTCAGTAGATTTTCATGGTGCTCGAAGCTAGGCCCCGCAGATCTCTTTGCGACCTTGTTGTGCTGGAAATGGTAGAAGTCGGGAAATATCTGCAAAAGGAGAGACAGACGAATTATGAAAATAATACAATGTCCCTTGAGTCGTGGGCCATATAAGATCTTTGTCGTTTGGCAGAATATGGGAAATTAAAGCG